GGGTTGCCGCTGCTCTCCTTCTCCAGGGAGAGCAGCAGACAGTTCATACGGTATACCAGATTTGGGTATTAATCTTGTCGATTTCTTCCTATCTGCCTCTTTATAACTGCTATGTTTGTATGATTGTTAGTATTATGGGATTAACAGGGTGCGAACAGGCTTTACTGTATGAAGATGAAAACGAGCTAGACGGGTCGGTAACATATTTATGTTGAGAGAGAAACATACCTTTAGCTGAACGAATAGCCTCAACCCCCAGGAAATAATGGAGATTACCCAAGTCTTTCATAGCAAAATGTTTAGAGATAATTGAAATAAATTGGGTAACAGATGACTCAGAATTGCCAGTAATAATAATATCGTCTACATATAGTAATAAATAAATAATAGTATTATTCTGGCGGTAAATAAACAAAGAATTGTCAGATTTGCTGTAGGAGAAATTATGTTGTAGAAGAAAACTACTAAATCTATGAAACCAGGCCCGTGGAGCTTGCTTAAGGCCATAAATGGCCTTGCGAAGACGACATATATGATTAGGAAATTGAGGATGAATAAAACCACATGACTGACTCATATAAACTTCTTCTGTTAGATGACCATGTAAGAAGGCATTTTTAACATCAAGTTGTCGTATAGCCCACCCAAAAGAAATAGCTAGAGTAAGTACAATACGAACGATGGTGGGTTTTACGACAGGACTAAAAGTTTCAGAGAAATCAATACCTGCCTGCTAATTAAAACCATGTGCAACTAATCGAGCTTTATGGCGCTCTAAAGATCCACCAGAATGATATTTAGTTTTATAAATCCATTTACACCCAACAATATTCTTAGAGCTATCAAAGGGCACCAAGTCCCATGTATTATTATTAATGAGTGCATTAAATTCATCAGTCATCGCCTCACGCCATTTTAACTGTTTATTTGCCTCAGTAAAACAGGTAGGATCTGCAGAAGTAATAACCGTACTTAAATTAAAAATGGCTTTAGGCTTAAAAATTCCGGACTTAGCCCAGGTTTGCATGGGATGCTGGTTAACTACCGTAGTAGACATAGGTGATATTTCGGGTGAGACATGGTCGGTTGGGGGTGTCGGGACTATGTGGGTCGAGGACCGGTGACGGGATGAGACCGGGGATAGTGGCGGGCTGGAAGTGGGCGTGGACGGGGATGTATGTGGTGATGGTGTATGCGGAGTTGTGGGAATTATGGGTGACCGAGGTGGGGAGGGGAGAGGTGGTGGTCGTGCGGATGTGATTGTGGGAATAGACTGGGCCAGTGGGTCAAGAGTTATATCGGTAAGATTCATAGGAGACGGTGTAGTAGACACAGAACGTGATGGAACAGACAAGAGGGTTTTGAAAGGATAGGTGTCCTCATGAAACCTAACATGACGGCTAACATAGACGTGACCTGTGTTAGGATCCAAACAACGATAGCCCTTATAACCAGATGCATAGCCAATAAAAACACACTGAACTGAACGAGGTGATAATTTATTAGCTGAGGTGGCTGAAAAATTTGGAACACGGTTAAAAAGTTTTGGTACAGAGAAAAACCATTTAAGGTAGGAGAGGGTAATCCATTAATAATATAGGCAGCAGTGAATATGGCATCAACCCAATAGTTGCTCGGAACCGAAGCTTAGAGAAGCATGGTCCGAGTTAACTCAAGTAAATGACGATGCTTGCGCACAGCAACCCCATTTTGTTGAGGAGTGTCAGGGCAAGATTTTTGAAAGTAGATGCCATTAGCAGAAAAAAATTGCTGCATATTATTATTAACAAACTCATCTCCCCCGTCACTTTGAAAATTTTTAATTTTCTGATTAAAAAGATTTTCAACCAAAGCTTTAAAATTTTTAAAGTGCATAAAAACCTCACTTTTATGACACATGGGATAAATCCAAGTATAACGAGAAAAATCATCAATAAAACACACGTAATACTTGAATCCCAAATTTGAATACACGGGTGACTGCCACACATCAGAATGAATAATTTGAAGAGGAAAAACAGAATTATGACTAGCATCCGTAAAAGGCAAACGTTGTGATTTTCCTAATCGACAAGCCACACATTCATGAGTAAATGGAGTATGACTACATAAGAATTTTTTTCGCTTAAGAAACTGTAAAATATTATCACCGCAGTGACCTAATCTACGGTGCCACACAAGGCCAGAAGCTAAAACAGAAGCAAAAACTAATGGTGATGAGGACGGCAGACAGATAGGATAAAGTGATCCACTACTGGTAGCTCGCAGAAGCACTGCCCCCGTTGCTTTGTCCTTAATCAAAAAAGAATTTTTATCAAAAATTACAGTACAGTTATTATCAGCACAGAGCCTTTTAATTGAAATTAAATTATATTTTAACTTAGGCACATGATAAATAGATTTTAAAGTGAGAGGACGACCAGACGTAGGTAAAGCAACATCACCAACATTACATATGGGAAGATGGGCACCATTGGCAACACTAACAGAATTATGGCTGATGTAAGGAGATTTATTAACTAAAATACCTTCAGATGCAGTCATATGAGCAGAGGCCCCTGAATCGGGGAACCATAGAGCAGGAGTAGTGTCACCGGGAGTAGTCAACAGAGCAGGGGCGGACGGTTTTGTTAAACGAGAAGGACAATTTATTGCGGAATGACCTGCAGAAAAACAAATTTGACAGACAACAGGATGGGGGAACAGACCCAAGAATACCCCCATCTGATGGCAAGCCTGCAGAACTACGGTTAGTAACACAGACAGGTAAAACATGAATATTTAATTGTGACATAGCAGAATTACAAATAACAGTACTCGTCGATGTCACACCCCCTGCAGGAGAACTCGTCTGCCCACCCCCTCCGGGGTAATGAACTGTCGGTCCATGGGGGTACCAGTAGCCCTGCTGCTGCTGTCCTCGTCCACGACCCCTGCCTCCACGGCTCTGCCGCAACTGCGGCCTCGTCCACGATGTGTAGCGCCAATCGGCCTCTGTTGCCCGACCGGGTAAGGCTGCTGCCCGACCGGGTGTGTGGCTACCGAATGCGGGTTAGTCTGCTGCTGACCTGAAGGGTGCCCGGAAGAAGAGATAGCCGCGCCAAATGCCTGATGAAAGGACTGGGACTCCTGGGAGTGGAGATAGAGTACCTGCTGCTCTAACTCAAGAAGATGATTACGGAGAGTCTCAAACGGAAAATTTTGTCCAAACAGGGACACAGCAGTGAACAAAGATTCATACTCAGGTCCCAGTCCCATAATGGTAGTTTTTAAAATTTCACGGGGAGGCACAGGGCAATTCATTGTGGCAAGATCATCAACCAATGTTTTAATTTCTCTCAAATAATTATCCATGGACTGATCAGGTTTCTTTTTAATTTGATTAAATAGGCGCTTTAATTCCATAGATCTGGCCAAACTGGCAGACATAAACCGTGACTCTAACCGCTCCCAAATTGCCTAGGAATGTTTTAAATCACGCACGTCGATAAGAACATCCCTAGATAGGGTTCCAAATAACCATGAACGGATTGTTTGATCAATTCTTAACCAAGTAGAAAATTCGGGATTGGGAGTTTGACGGTTAAGAGGGTCTATGGAATAGGTAGGGGGTACCTGAATTGAGTCATCAACCATACCAAGTAGTGCTTGTGAGACCAGAAACGATTCAAACTGAGTCATCCAAGTAGTGTAGCCCTCCACTGCTAGAAGTTTGGTGGTCACGATATTCGTGACATTTGTGGCCACGTGTGATATGGTGAGGGCAAGCTCGGCCAAAGGAGAAGGTGTTGGGCTGGCAGCAGGTCCACGAAGAGGATGAAGCGTGGAGGAAATACCAGGTGAGCCAACGAAGGTGGTACCGGCGATGTCGGTGGTGGAGACCGGTGGTGGCTCAAGCGGAACTGGTTGCACTAAAGTCGGGGCCGACCAAGGAAACGCCGGAGGAAAACTCTGGAAAAGAGAATATGGCATAGAGGCCCGACTTGGAGACGCAAAATTGGAGGTGAAGGTCACGCCGGAGGAGACGGAACTGATCGCCGGCAGTGTTCCAAAAGATAGTGGAGCGCCGGTCGAAGCGTTGGTGCTGGCGGCGACATATGTCAACTGGCTGACGGTTGCCGAAGACTGGGATGACGGAGCGGCCATGGTGAAGCGCAGCGATCGACGTCGGAAAAACTGAAGGCACGGTGGCAAGCAGGCGGCGGCGACTCTAAGTTTAGCACGCGGCGCTGAAAAAAATTTGTAGAGAGAGAGGATCGGAAATTAATGTGCTCTTGATACCATGTGAGAATAATGGAAAAGTTACTCCCTAAGGAGTCCTGGCAGATATATTTATAATAAAGAGAGTTTAATGTCAAGTACAATACTAAGCCTCTAATAATTCTATTAATTACAACATCCGAAATATGGGTCTCGCATTTCAATATGACAACTTTTTCAGGGACAAAATGTGCGATTTTCCCTAAATTTTACGGTCAACTTTTCACATTTGTCCAGACAAAACTTTGGCCATTAATATATACGGAGTATAATTCTCTATTATTAAAAAATAAAAATTTAGATTCTAAAAATTTGCAATTTAACTAAATTTTTTTCAAATAAAATATATTAATTCATTAATAAATAAAATGTAGACGAAATTCAATTTAATATGTTATACTTATTTAATATGTATAACCTCTTTATTCAAATTGTAAGGGACATTAATTAATTACTCCCTCCGTCCCTAAATAAAAGCATCTGTTTCATTTTCGGGGCGTCCCTAGATAAAAGTTCCCTTTCCTTTTTGGCAAACAAAACAGTGCAAAACAGTGTCAAACAATGTCCACACAGTGCCAAACAATACCAACCAAACTCACTTTATAAATATGTGTGGAAAATGAATGAATACTTTTATATAAGGACGGAGGCAGTATATTACTCCATAATAATTAATCCTAGGTAGCTACCCCGATAGGATGGATGTACGGTGCCGTAACTTATGGGAAGGCAAGTCATACCGCAGTAGTAGTGGTGGACGTCGGACTTCCATGAGTTCCATGATACGCACTTCCATGAGTTCCATCATCTTCCTGAAATATTATTATGCACATGTCAACAAATAAATTATTACTCAGTAATTCATTTTCCAATATTTAACAAACATTTTTTTGTGTCTCAAATACACAATTTTGTACACATCCTTGTACACATCTTATACACACTATGTTTGTGAAATTTTTTTTGTCTGTGAATCCGATTCACAGACAATATTTTGTTTGTGTAAAACATTGTCTGTGAATCGATGTTCACAGACAAAAAAAAAGCTTTCACAGACATAAGTGTGTACAAAAGTGTGTATAAGAATGTGTACAAACATCATTTTTGTTTTTTTATAGCGTTATAAGTGGAATTGTTTCCTCAGGTGCTTCTTCATATTCTTGCGTTGCATATGTGTGATGCATCTTATCACCCTAACATGAGAGGCAGTACATACACCGAAAATTACCAGCTCCATTAAATACGAAGCACTGTATAGTTCTATTAACTATTAAAAGGAAAATTTTCGAAATAGTAAAAATGTGTTTAAGAATTCTGAAATATGATTGTAATGTTTTTATGCTTTAAATAGAAGTAATTACTATTAAGCTTATAAAAATATTGTCATGTTTAAATCAGACACAGGTATAACATGATGAAAATTATTCATATTTAAAGAATGAAAACAACACGATCATATTTTGGAATACACAAACTCGTTTAGTCCTATTTAGGCCGGAAAATTCCCCATTATTATAAAGATTATATTAAATATTAATAAAGAAATTATACTAAATGAGACTAAAACATGGTGAAAACTCCAAAATAGGACTTCAAGTTTTAATTTGCCTAAATGGGACTCCAGATTACATTTTTACCCCTAATCCCTAAATCACCTTCTCCCCAATCTCTCTGCATCGATCGTGAGACCTGGGATTACAACTTCTCCCTGCGATTGCCTAAATGACTCAACAGCCATGGACGCAACTCACAACCATCGATCGCAACTCGACGAGCTATCATCGCAGCTACCTGCTCGACGCCGGCAACCACCTCTTCAACGATTTCTCCAGCAAAATCAGGTATTCCTCTTCTTCTTCTTCTTCTTCTTCTTCTTTCTCCTTCTCCTTCTCCTTCTCCTTCTCCTTCTCCTTCTCCTTCTCCTTCTCCTTCTTCTTCTTCATCCCCTCTGTTTCCTTCTTTGTTTTGTGCTTCTTTTGAATTTCAGATTATTTTAGAAATTTTAATTTGAAAATGCCATCATTTAAAAATATTGCCACTTTTATGGAATTGCATTTCTTACGATGACAATTTTGACCTGCTTGTCATTCTTTGCATCTGAATGTTATCTTTACTCGAAAATAACATGTTTTACTAACTGTAAATGTCATCTTTCTATTCCAAAATGTCAACATTATTTTAACATGACAGTACATGCATAAGATGTCATTTTTTTAAAAAATGACATGTTTATTTTTATATAACATTTAAGGATAGCTTGAAAATTACATGTTTTTCCATATGCAACTGACATGTTTTTATACAAAAATGTCATCATAATTTTAACATGTCATATGTTTTCAAAACTTGTGATTTTGCTGCAGGAGGAAGTCCTGCACTAATGTTGATGGTGGTTGGTGTCTCGCCGGAGGGTGGCAGACGGAGGTTGTGGTCTGATTGGACGGCGGCGATGTTCTGTGGCAGCATCGCTAGAAGCACCAACAACGATGGAGGTCGTTGTGCATCGCTAGTGTGCATTGCAATAGTTGCTCGACAGAGCATTATGCTATAATTAAGGGTAGTTTTGGTAGATTACTCCTTTTTAGTCTTATTTTTGTCAAATAAAACATAGCTTGTAGCTTGTAGCTCGGTAGTTTTGGTAAATCTCTCATATTAATAGGATCGAACTAGAGTTCATATTAGATTTTCGTGTTTATTTTATTTGACTTAGCTTGTAGCTCGGCTGTAATAATCATTTCAATATGATCACCAAAGCAAACAAGTACACTGTACACTACCTACCCTTACAGTTGAGTCATTAGCTATCAACTAATAAAGATTTTCATTCAATGAATTGTATTTCGTCAGTCTTTTATTTGTTCTAAATTCTAATTCGGGTATAAAAAAAGGTAAGGTATGAACTAATTTAAGCCGCCTCAATCCTGATCATAACATACTGATCGAAAAATTTCTTAGATATATGAATGTTAGACGTGTTTAGCTAATGAAGAAAATAAGATATCAAGAATTAAAGAAAAGATTGTACCTGTCACGTTGTAAAAAAAAGTAAAATTTCTTAAATTAATTACCCTTGGATCCCGATTATTGGGTTGAACATTGTGCTGGCCATAAAGAGCATGTGATATCATATCCATAATCCTTTGCATCTGTAGAAATCAAGTTTAATTTTTAGAAATAATTTCAATTCGTTTTTGTACTGACTAATATATTGTGAGTGTGTGACTATATAAAGGCTGAGTAAGTAAAATTAATTAAACGGTAAAAAGCACACTATTAATTAGTCCGCAGAATATATAATATTCCGTACATACAAAGAGTGATACTCCAGCCAGGAAGTTGGTGATGATTCCCAACAACGGTAGAACCATTTCCTTCTTCAAAAAGTTTAGAAAGAGAATTAGGTAGTTAGAAATAAATTGATAAATTGACTTGTACGTTAATACTAGTACTACGTATATGATGTTTTCATATTCGTAGTAGTATTGTATTAAAAACATCCTTACATACTTCGTACCGAGCACTGCTTAATACTACCTCAGTCCCGCTATGATTGTCCCGTTTTACCTTATCGGTCTATCCCACTAAGATTGTCTCGTATCAAATTTGACAAAGTTGTGTGATTCTAAATAATTACTTCCTCCGTCCCTTAAAACTTTGCCAAATTTGACCGGCACGAGGATTAATAAAGTAAAAAGTGTGTGATAGAGGTTTGTGCAGAGGAGAGAGAATTCATTATATCTACAAATTCTTTATTTAAAATGAAAAGTGGCAAAATTAGTGGATCATTCAAAAAATGAAAGTTGACAAAGTTTTAAAGAGGCAATAGATAACAGGAATACCCTTACCATTTCCGGTGCTTTATGCCTAGGGGTGGGCAAATATACCGGAAAATCAGTATACCGTACTTATCGTACCGAAAAATACCGAAAAATACCGGAATATTGATATACCGTCATTTTCGGTACGGTATCATACCGTACCGATTTATTTTGGTACGGTAACGGTAAATGTTTTCAAATACCACTGGTGCAAAATTACCTTTTTGCGGCGCTTAAATCAACCAACGTGCGGCGCTTTCAGGCGCCGCACATCTCGGTGCCGCAATTTAACGCGTGCGACGCTTTTTTAAAATAAGCACCGCAAAATATTTTTTAAATTAATAATTTAATGCGTAACCGTGCGGCGCTTTTCTGTAAATAAGCGCCGCAAATATTTTTTAAATTAATAATTAAATACGTAACCGTGCGGCGCTTTTCTGTAAATAAGCGCCGCAAATATTTTTTAAATTAATAATTAAATACGTAACCGTGCGGCGCTTTTCTATAAATAAGCGCCGCAAACTTTCAACATTTTTTTAAAATATTAATTATATTTAGGATCTTTCAAAAACGTCCTGTAACAGAATTAACAAAATTCAAAAAGTGTAAACTGTTTAAAGTCATCACAATATCAACAACATGAACTTCACAAATTACAAAATCAACAAAGTGTAAGCAATTCAAGTAACCAACAGATTACAAAAATCTTCATAAAAATGATTTCAAAAAACACTTAACACAATACGGAAGTTCCCAAAAAATAGACTTCTTCTTCCACAAACTCTGTTTGTTCCGCTTATATGGCTTACCAAAAACCGTGTTCAAATCTTTGACCTTATCATATATTTCTGATCCACTTAATACACGTCGAGGAACACCGTGTTCAGCTTTTCCATTAAATGCCTTTTTGAGTGCACGATAACGATGGTTTCGTGGAAGAAATCTTCGATGACTCATGTATACATTCTTTTTGCAATTGGGTAATCGCAAATCAAGAGTGTCATCTTCACAAATGGGACATGCCTTTCCACCTTTAACTGTATATCCAGAAAGATTTCCATAAGCTGGAAAGTCATTAATAGTGCAATACAACAAAGCACGCAAATTAAAATTTGTTTTTGTGTGCATGTCATATGCTGTAACACCCTCATTCCACATAAGTTTAAGATCATCAACTAATGGTGCGAGGTACACATCAATATCATTACCGGGTTGTTGTGGTCCCGAGATAAGCAAAGACAACATTATGTACTTCCTCTTCATGCACAACCATGAAGGCAAATTATAAATAACCAATAAAACTGGCCAAGTACTATGTTGACTACTCAATGTGCCATATGGATTCATACCATCAATGCATAATCCAAGTCTCAAATTTCTGTCTTCTTTGCCAAAATCAGGATATTTCAAATCAATTTGCCTCCACTGTGGTGCATCAGATACATGTCGCAACTACTCATCTTTTTTCCTGCCTTGAGCATGCCACACTAAGTTTTTTGCATCTTTCTCATTCATGAATAATCTTTTAAATCTAGGAATGATAGGAAGATACAACAACACTTTGGCAAGTGTTTTGGTGTATTCAGCATCAAACCCAACATTAATACCCTTCTTCTTCTTATAACGTGAAGCGTGACACTTTGGACATTCATTTAGTTTTCATATTCATTGCGGTACAATATGCAATCGGCTGGGCATGCATGAATCTTCTCCCATTTTGTTCCCATTGGACACAACAACTTTCTAGCCTTATAGCTCGTATCGGGAAGTGTATTTCCTTCTGGAAGCATTTCTTGAAGCAATATCAGCAACTCAGTGAAACTAACATTACTCCACCCATGTTTAGCTTTCAAGTGAAATAATTTGAGAACAGCAGATAGTTTGGAGAATTCAGAACCCGTGAATAGCGGTATATTGGCGGCCTCAATCAAATTCTCATAAGATTTTGGTTGATAATCAAAATTATCATAAACATCATTCAAGAGTTCATCAATTCTATCTTCATTGGCATCATCAGCCGCAACACCATCATCAATATCATTTGAAGTAGTAGTAATATGAGTAGCTTTACGCTTTAGATGACTAGAAGTTGCTCCAGAAAAAAGGTGTTCGACATCCACACGATTCTCACCATGGAATGTCCATGTCATATAGTTTTCTCTAAAACCCTTCTCAAATAAATGCTGAAGAACTATGTTCACGTCATTCTCTCTTTTAATGTTACGGCACATTGAACAAGGACATAAAATTCCTTTTTGTCCTTGTTGCTTCTGATGCGCAACAGCCACTTTCACAAACTCATGAACACCATTGAAAAATTGAGAAGTATTTCTCAAACCATACATCCAGCTACGATCCATGATTAACAACACTAAACTTTATCTAAAAATAAAAAAATGATAATAAATTATTGCATACTTTTTTTCTTTTTAAGCACAATTTTTATGAAGATTGCAATTGAGGGTTATGCTATTATAAAACAACCTCTTGGAAGTATTTTGCTGCTCATTACAACTATTCCAAAATTATATGACTCAAAATTAATTAAAATAAAAAATATTGAAAAAAATTATTATTAAAAAATATACATACCTTCGGATCGGAGGTTGGAGTAAGCGGACCGGAGGAGCGGCGGAGGTGCGACGTGCGCGCGGCTTACGTGCGGAGGTGCGACGTGCGTGCGGCGGAGGTGCGATGTGCGCGACGGCAACCTCCGAAGATGAGCGGCAGACGGACGACGTCCCACCTTGGCTTCGACGTCCGCAACCAAGGTGAGCGGAGGAGCGGCGAACCGGAGGAGCGACGCTTAGGGTTTCCGCCTGAAAAAATCTATTTCTGATCGATCTGCTGCGAGCGACGGCTATGGCCGCATAAACTGGAACAGTTTATGCGGCGCTTTTTACAAAAAGGCGCCGCACGCCCCTTTTAAAAATCCGGTTTTTTTAAAAAATAGTTTATCATCTGCGGCGCTTTTTACAAAAAGGCGCCGCACACCCCTTTTAAAAAATCCGAATTTTTTAAAAAAGTAGTTTATTTTCTGCGGCGCTTTTTACAAAAAGGCGCCGCACGCCCCTTTTAAAAATCCGAATTTTTTAAAAAAGTAATTTATTTTCTGCGGCGCTTTTTAAATATAAGCGCCGCCTAGGAAATCGGAACACGTATGCGGCGCTTTTCTGCATATAGGCGCCGCACGCCTCTTTTAAAAATCCGATTTTCAAAAAAATTAGTTTTTTTTGAATAAAAATTTGACGTCAGTCTGCGGCGCCTTTATAAATAAGCGCCGCAAAGACCCGAAAAATTAAATAATTAAAAAATTAAACACATATTAGAGGCGCTTAAACAGAAAAGCGCCGCACGTCGTATATTTTGAAGGCGCTTGTTTATTAAGCGCCTCAAATGACGTGACGCAATTTAACAAATTTTTACTAGTGTGCCGCGGTATACCGGTGTAATACCGTACCGACTCCCTACCCAACAATTATTACTTTTAATTCTAGAGTATTGTAAAACTCCATTACAATTATGAAGCCCAGAATTAATACTTACATTGGTTACAAATCTCCAATGACTAATTAGTAATGTACTAATGTCCAAAAACAAGTTCATCTTGTTCCAAGAGCTTGCGAGTTACGATGACTGAGTCGCTGAATAGCTGATGAGTGGAGAGAGGTACACCTATGTGACAGGTGTATCTACATAGGGATTCCACGAGTCGAGACACACAACTTTGTCCGAAAGTTTTATTCATTTTTTAAAAAAAATATAAAAATGACTAAATGCACAATATCATACTACCTGCATCCCAAAATGATTAGTCAAATCCAAAACTTTGATGATTAATATATATTTATTGGAAATTATTTATAATATAAAAATTATATGAAAATGTTCTTTGTTAAAAGTACTTTCATAAAAGTATAAAATTCATAACTTTCATAATATTATACTAATCAAAACCATGGTCCAAATTTTGAGATTTGGCTAAACATTTTGGGACAGAGGTAGTATTAGGAATAAATGATTTTATATCCATGTTGTTTGAATAATTTTATTTATTATTGTTAGAGATCACTATTGATTTAATTATATCTATATCGTTCAAGTTATTTTAGGAAAATGTGCTGTTTTTTAATACGTGGCATGTTGAACTGCTTAAATATATTAATAATTATTATTGTTCAATATTGAGTATGACATCAATATATTATTAATTATATTTGTAAAATTTTAATAATGAAATAAATATGTCACTAGTAACACCGATTTAGCATATTTCGTTAGTCTATGATAATTTGTTGTATTGGAGGACATGCATGGTAATTTACCGATACCGTACCGTTACCGAACCGAAACTTCGGTATACCGAAATGTGGTATACCGAAACTTCGGTAAGGTAACGGTATATAAATTTTGCATACCGAAAGTTTTGGTACGATAAAGGTATGAGAGAAAATCTTCGTTATACTGTACCGAACCACCCCTATTTATGCCAACCGAAAAGAAAAAGCAACAGTTTTGATACCCACTATATTTGGCAAGCTAGGAAAACTACGTGTGTTGGACAGGGCAAGCTTATTGTGAACCTTGATGAGAAAAGGACGAAAGTGCGGGAATTTTTTGTATGACAGGCAAAATGACTGGGAATTGCGTTTACACACTATTTTCTAAATACAAATTAAATAATCAATTAATTTTACAAATAATAAAAAAATACTATCTACTCCTCTGGATGTTGCCTGAATCATTAAAAAAATTGTCGATTGCCATTACTCATTAGAGAAAAATTGCTCCCATTTAAAAACCTTAAAGTGATGATTTTATATTTACTCCATTTGTTAATTTGTCTGTGTTTTTGTTCAAGTAATATACCTTCTTGTTACGGCTTTTTTATTTATTATAATTGGGTACATACACATATATGTTTGTGTGTAAATCATTTATTTGGATTGTAAGAGTATGCAATTTTAAATGAATATACGAAGCATAAACTTTGATTGAGCCTCAAATAACTCCATCTCACATCAAGTTCAGTTCACATTTTCAATTCAGTTATGCATTATTGACCATTACTAACACAGGAGCATTTTTGTCGTTGGGACACAACAGTACTCATGACCGTTGATAATAATAATGTACGTAGGCCCATTATATATGGGAAAATGTGGAAACCGCAAAATGTGGAAACTGGAAAATGTGGTACTCAGATGATTGTGATGGTTAATAACGCAAGAATTCAATTATCGGATTTAAAATTTTATTGAGTTCATTTCTCAATTACTACGAATTATACGAAGTATATTAGGAGCGCACTCAAATTGGCTTATAATTGATTCTGTAGTTGAGGCCAGGGACCGAGGGAAGGAGCCAGGACAATTTTGAAAAAAAATACACGAAATTTTTTACATTGAAATTATAGATCTTTTTTTAAATTTGGGCTGGGCTGGAGCCATGGTTGACCATTCCCTAGCTACGCCCTTGGTTCAAGCATAAATGATTGAATTGACTGATTCTACTGATTTATACAAAAACTATATTTAAAATATTTATTATTAATAAAATATAGAATATTTGTATGAAAAATAATTATAATGGTTCTCTAAGTTAACTTCAATCAATTCAACTAGAAAATAGTTTCAACCTCACTTGTTTTGATTATTAAATAATTCAATGCGTGAAATTAAAACTTACATATTTGGTGAAAATGTTGATTGATAAATCTCATAAATCTCATAAAAACATTCGTTACATTTTAAATTGATTTCCAAGGCATATCTAAGTGCATGATATTTCCGGTTCAGGAATGATTTTATTAAACATGAAGTTTACGAAATTTTAATTGCGTTAAATAATATTGCATATTGACTAAGTTTTAATGTGTTCGTGCACTTTGAATTTAAAAATTTGAAATCAAAGTGCTCAGTCATACTTAATTGGTTTGATCCTATCATCACCGGTCATGGCAATATTATAGTGGCGACCAAACTTTCTGACCCCTTGCTCTATCTGATTTCCAATAAAAATACTTCTGCTGCATCATAGTATAGAATTACTATTGTTTATGTTTGTAATTTTAACTAGTTTTATTTGTTGTTGTTTGGGAAATTACACACGTACTTTTGATGTAATACTTTATTTTTTCTAGTTGTGTGTAATTTGTTTAGATTATTGATTTTATGAGTTTAAACTAGGTAACGATCATCAAAAGAATCCTGAGAAGGTCAAGGAAAGTGCAAGAGAACAAGAAAAAGTGAAAATTTGGGAAAAATAGTCAAAAAAACCTGTCGGGTAAAGCAAAACTCGATCATGTTTGACTTGACCCGAAGATCAAATCTGATTTGGAGGCAATTAAACGTGTTGGGCGAAGATTTGGCAAAGATTTATCTTTTACCCGATCGGGTAAATCCATAGTTGGCAATGGCGCATATACGAATGGCGCATATGACACATATGGCGCTATGGCGATGATTACTTTTTCATGGCGATGGCGCATATGGCGCGCGCCATATCTTGCCATTGACTACTATGGGTAAATAAAAGACCCGATCGGGTAGATGTGACTAATGAAGATTCCGAGCAATTACTCAGGAAACCCGATCGGGTAAATCAAAAACTCGGTCGGGTAAATGACTCTGCCACCTCCAAACACCTATAAATGCACCCCTTTTCCTTCCCATTTGATAATCAATTCATATACACTTCTAAGCTCAGTTTAGTTAAGTACTTTTTTTATATTTTTATCATGTTTAGTCTCCAAATTAGGAGCTAAACTCTTCCATCCTTGTTTTGCTACTTTGAAGCTTAATGGATTGTAAGTTGTGAGTTGTATTTCTTTAATCTTCTTCCTTAAATATTAATTTTTCCCTTAATCTATCTCTATATTAATGTTGTGGAGTGTTGATAAGATGACAATTAGTTAACATCTCGACATTAGTTATAGTAACATTTATTTTCTTTAATCTTCTTCCTTGAAATATTGGTTATACAATGTTTAATATAGCTTTAACCTCAATTTAAAAAGAAGATTACGACTAACCCAATGGAGCCTTCAGATCTCTTCAATTCCCGTTTCAATTCTTCAATTGAAAACCAAAAACTGGGAGTCAGCAAAAAGTGAAGAAAATCGATTAACACAATTACACTATGCATACATTAACACCGTTGAACCAAATAGGTTGATTAATTTTACTTCCTGTAGCATATAAATCAACAGTGACACTTTACCTAAACTTAATGAAGTCTAAGTCAATATTCATCTGCATCCAGTATACCGCTCCCAACAAAAAATGAATTAACAAACGAATTAACGAACATATGAATTAACAATTTCAGAGAAGAAGAAATAGAAGGATTTAGAAATGGAGGTCTAAGAACTTCTTCGTTGTCGTAGATTAAGATGAGATGGGTAAGAAAGTGTGGCGGAATGATATTAGAAAGGGGAAAAAAGCACCGGACCTCTCCTTGGAAGTGAATGAAACAAACTTCACCTACCCTTGATGGCAGACCGATAACCGCAAGATAATTCTGAACTGCCTGTGCGTGTGCAAAGAGCCTGTAAACAGTGCTGCGTATTTAAACTCTACCAACGGAAGTCCTAGGTACATAATTAAACTCTAATAATTAAACAGCTATCTCTAGGTAATTAAGGTTTACATATTTAGTACTGAGAAAAACAAGAAGACTTGATACCTGCGGAAAACAAGAGGCAGTCCGGCGAGGTCTGCAATACCAACAGAGAAAGAGAAACAGGGATCGTGGCCAGCGACCGTTCGTGATGGTGGCAGAGACTTGATTTGGCGGAGGTGCAGGGTGTGGCCTCTTCGACCGCGCGGAGGAGTGATTCCGAATTTGTCAGTAGGATTGTTGGAAGAACAGCGACCGAGAAGAAAAATTAGATTCAAGTACTCGGCTTCTCGTCAATTCAAGGAACTAGGGGCAGTGCCTATATGGTAAGTCGGTACACTCGGCCCAACTAAGAAAGATAATCCGATAGCTGATACGTGCCAAAAAGAATTCGGTGTCATTTTTATAATTTAAGCGAAAAATCACGGCTTCCACTAAATGAGCAATAGTGTACTTTTAATGAACACCAGACCCCTGCTTCATATCTTCTATTTTTTTCTTTTTCTTATTTTTTTCTTTTATAAAAACTTATTAAATTATATCTATAATACACTCCATTTAATTCCAATATGCGAGTCTAATTTAATATGATACTTTTGAAATATGCATTGATATACCAATTAAAAAATGAGCATAACATCAGTACCAAATGAGCATACATAACTTACAAAGTGTACATTGATATGACAATCATAAGGTTTGTTAGCTAAACATCACGACATTTTAATTCAGCATCAAACCTCTGCTATTGACATAAAAATCACGATTTCTAGTGAATGAGCATTAATGAACTTTTAATGAGCAACAAACCTATTATATTGAGTATTAAGAGTCTAATATTCAGAATCGTGATCTCTGCTTCGTAACTTCTACAAAAACTTATTACATTATATTTATAATCAACTCCTATGAATTTCAATATGTGAATCTAATGTAGAATAGTACTTTTTAAAAATGCATTGATATGACAATTTAAAAATGAGCATAAATGAGTATCATTTGAGCATACGGAACTTACAAAATGAGCATTAATATGAAAATCATAAGTTTTTTAGTTGAGCATTAAAACATTTTCATTGAACATCAAACCTCCTCTATTGATTATTTCAAACATGCAATTGAGTATCATGGTTTGTGCTCTAGTATCTATAATTAACTCCTACATAAATCTTATGTAATATGATACTTTTGAAGTATGCGTTGATATTACATTTTAAAATGAGCATAACACCAGTACTAAATGAGCATACATAAATTACCAAATGAGCAATGGTATAAAAATCATAAACTTTGTTAGTGATGGAGTATATGGGTCTGAGCCCCAGGACCCACATACTCGGAAGAACAGAAAGCACAAGACAACAGAGTGGCGCCCTCGTCGGCCAAGACGCCCCCGTCGGCCGAAAAGGAGCCAACTCGGATTATGGTCCTGAGTCCAAGGAACCCGGGTGCCCTCGTCGGCCGTGCCCTCGTCGGCCACGCCCTCGTCGGCCACAAAGACCTCCCAGAATCGGATTTTATACTTACTCATTTGTACAGCCCATTAGTGGCTTTGTATTCGGCCCAGTAGCGGTCCAGTTGTAAATGGGCCTCCCAAGCCCAAGGCTTGGGAGCCCAACACTAATTTTCTCTATAAATACTCCCCTTGGGAGTAGTTATAGGGGTTACGAAATCATTCTATTGAAACATATTATTGCACTTCTCTCTCTAGCTCTCACTTCTCTCTAGATATACTCTATCATTTGGTGCTTTCATTGAGAGCTAGAACAATCAAGTTAGCACCCTTCGTCGCTACCAAGCACAGCTAACCACTGATCATGGAGAGAACTAAGTCAAACCGCAACCTCGTCAGCAAAGTCATCCCTGAGGACCAAGAGCCCAGGGAGCACGATGAGGACGCCACGGCCGACCAGGTCGGCGGAGGGGACCTCTTCCAGGAGGCCTTCAACCTCACGACGGACCTCCGCAACCAACTCAACGGCGGAGTCCCCGACGCCCGCCTCAGCCTGGAAAAGAAACGAGCTGAGAAAGCAGACCACGCCCCGGCCCAGCCTATGGCCGCGGCCTCTTCGTCCGTAGATCCTCAGGTCCAGGCCGCACTATCGGCTATCATCGCCAGCTTGGTTCAAAATCCCACCGTCCTCAGCGCACTCTTGCCAAGGACCGGGGGAAACGTCACTCCACCTCCTCATCCCCAACCGTTGGCCGTCCAGATAGGCAACAATGAGGGGGTTGTGGCCCAGGACACGGCGTCGTCCCACTCCCACCCTGCTTCCCCTCTTCGGCCCGGGCAGACCACAGCGCGTGGAAAAGCCTCTGCCTTCAATAGGCTAGGTGACACGCGTCGTCGTCCGGTTTCGGAAAGGATGGCGGGACGGATTGGTGATCCTCGTCCTGGCTCGCCAAGGGAAAGCTTGGGGTCTGTGTCCCGGACAGCGGACCAGCCCCGCCCGGACAAGGGCAAGGGGAAGTTGCACGAGGATGACGTGCGCCACCAGATCAACGCGGCTCACAACGAGCGCCTGAGGAACCAGCCGGGCGCCGCTGCGGCTGACAAGGACCCCCGGGACGAGGTCATCGCCCATCTGGAAAGGAGGTTGGCTCAGATGCAGGCCAAGCAGTCGGCCAACATCCCTACGGCCGGCGCCTCCAACGACCCCGGCCTCAACGCGCTCATGAACAAAGTTAGCGCCCTGGAGAGGGAGCTGGCCGAGGGGCGAGGTGACCCCATCATCCAGGTCAGGACCAGGACCCCTTTCACCAACAGCGTCCTCTCGGCCCCCATCCCTGAGAAGTACAGGGGGAACGCCATCAAGTCCTACGATGGCCGATCAGACCCCCAGGAGCACTTCAGCCGTTACCAAAACAACATGCTGATGGTGAACGCGTCCGACGAATACCTCTGCCGTTGGTTCCTCTCTACCCTCGAGGGGCCAGCGTACGAGTGGTTCAACGGACTGCCGGAAGGAAGCATCGACTCATGGCAGGACCTCGCCCAGCGCTTCCTCACTCACTTTGCCGGGAGGAAGCGCGCCAAGAAGTATTTCACCCACCTCCTCTCCGTCAAGCAGCAGCACGAGGAGTCCCTCCGGTCATTCATCGATCGGTGGACGAGGGAGACCGAGGAGGTCGAGGGGGCCGATGAGCGCACCCTCCTCGCCTTGTACCAGGGAGCCCTCCGCAGCTCCCCGTACGCTAGGAGCCTCATCACCGACCCCCCGAGGTCGTACGCCAAAGCGCTCCAGCGCGGAGGCTTATATGCCGACGCCGACGAGCTCCACAATCACAAGAGAGAGGGGGGCCATCCCCCCAAGAAGACAAATCCTTCGCCGGCTCCGGGTCCGTCCCCGGCCGGCCAGGGTGCCCAGGGCCGCCACGGCTCTGGTGGACAGAGTAAGAAAGACCGCCACTGGTGGCCGAGGCTGGAACGGCCGGGGGTAACCCTCACCCACCCGGTCGGCACCATCCTCGATTATGCCGAGAAGAACGGCCTCATCGAGCAGGCTCCTCGGCCGGCCGAGGAGATCCTTGCCATCCAACAGGGCGGCACATACTGCCGGTTCCACAAGAACTCGTCGCACAACACCGACGATTGCATCACATTGAAGAAGGCCATCGAGCGCCTTATTCGCCAGGGGGAACTCTCCCAGTTTGTCAAAGGTGGCCCGCGCAAGAACACTTGGGTAAACACCGGCAAACATGGGGGCGAACCCTCTGCGAAGAAGCGGGAGATTGGTAGACTCAGCGACGACGAGGACTTCGAAGAGCCTCCACCAAAGAAGAATCACATCCACTTCATCGTGGGTGGAAACACTGGGGGGGACTCCGCCACTCAGAGAAAGAAGTGGGCCCAATCCCTTTACATTGGGGAGGTGTCCCACGTTCCCCCCCAGCCGAAGAAGCAGCGAACGGAGGCGATCACCTTCACCGACAAGGATCTGCCTCCGAGTACGGAATCACATAGGGACGCCCTCGTCATCCGATGTGAGATCGGTGACTCCATCATCCACCGTACTTACATCGATACGGGGAGCTCCGTCAACGTGATGTACCTGGCCACCTTCAAACAGCTGAAGCTGGACAGAGCTTTGCTGAAGCCGATCAAGACCCCGTTATCCGGCTTCACCGGGGACTCTATCGACGCCGAGGGCACGATAGTCCTCCCCGTGGAAGTCGGTGACGGCCCCCACCACGCCAAGATTGACATGGAGTTCATGGTGGTCAACCTCCAGTGCGCCCACAACCTGATCTTGGGTCGGCCAGCGCTGGAGGACTTGGAGGCCATCATCTCCATGAAGCACTTATGTTTGAAGTTCCCCACCAATGACGGCATCGGCTACGCCAGAGGAAATCAGAGGATAGCTAGAGCTTGCTACCTCAAGCTAACGAGGCCGGCCGAAAGGGAAGGACAGAGGATAGACACCATTACGGCCGCCGTCGCCATGGACGAGGAGAGGCCACATGCGGAGCCGGCCGAGGAGGTCGAGGAAATCCCTCTGGATACCTCCCGGTCGGAGCGGGTTCTCAGGGTCGGAAACCAAGTCCCCCAGGATCAACGAGACGCCATCCTCCTCGTCCTACGGTCATACGCTGTTGTCTTCGCGTGGGGCCCGGACGATATGCCAGGCATCAGCCGCCAGGTGATCACTCACCGGCTGACCGTCGATCCGGCCTCCGCGCCCGTCAAACAGAAGCGGCGCTACTTGTCCGCCGACAGGCGGGACTTCGTCAAGGGGGAGGTCGCCATGCTCCTATCGATCAAACACATCAAAGAGGTGAAGTACCCAACATGGTTGGCCAACGTCGTCCTCGCACAGAAACCGCCGACGTTCAGAATGTGTGTTGACTACACTGACTTGAACAAGGCGTGCCCCATGGACCCGTTCCCTCTCCCCAACATTGATCAGCTGGTGGACGAGACGGCGGGGTGCGAGTTGATGTCGTTCCTCGACGCTTTCAGAGGGTACCACCAGATCTCCATGCATGAAGATGATGCCGAGAAGACGACATTCATGACCCCAGAGGGAATCTTTTGCTACCTCGTCATGGCATTCGGACTCAAAAACTCTGGCGCCACCTACACTAGGATGGTGGCCAAGATCTTCAGGGCGGTCCTTGGCCGGACGATGGAGGCGTACGTCGACGACATGATCGTCAAGAGCAGGCAGGCCACCTCCCACGTCGACGACCTCCGGGAAATCTTTGAAATAATGAAGGAGTTCAAGCTCCGGCTCAACCCCAAGAAGTGCGCCTTCGGCGTCCAGGGTGGCAAGTTCCTCGGCTACATGGTCAGCCGGAGAGGCATCGAGATAAACCCGGAGAAGACGCAGGCTATCATCAA